CTCCTGTAGAGCAAGCAAAATCGAGCTGGATCGACCCACTCGTGAGTTACCTGCTTCCTAGGACCCTCCCTACAGAACGCAATGCGGCCCGAAGGGTAGAGCGCCATTCAGCTAAGTACGTCATTATAGATAGACAACTATACAGAAGGTCCTTCACGCTCCCCTACTTGTGTTGCTTGCGACCCTTAGAGGCCAAGTACGTAATCCGCGACACCCATGAAAGCTTGTGCGGCGGATACTTGGGGGGCAGGGCTTTCGCACAAAAGGCGTTACGGCAGGGCTAATACTGTCCCACGGTGAAGGCAAACGCACTCGAGCTCGTCAAGAAGTGCGATAAGTGTCAGAGGCACACTAACATCCACCATTAACCTACTATCGATCTGAAATACCTCACTAGCCCGTGGCCCTTCGCACAGTGACAGGACAGATGAAGTTTATGGTCGTAACCGTAGACTATTTTACGAAATGGGTGGAAACTGAACCTCTAGCAACAATCATAGCTCGCAACATACAAAACTTCTTTTGGAAGAACATAGTGTGTTGCTTTGGGCTACCTCGGGTACTCATCTTCGACAACGGGAAGCAATTCGAGGATATCAAGTTTCAGAATTGGTGTGCCGAAATGGGAATTTAGCAAAATTTCACCTTGGTGGCACACCCCCAGGCAAACGGGCAAGCGGAAGTCACCAACAGAGCCATACTTCGCGGACTGAAAGCTCGCTTAGCTCGAGCCAAAGGATTGTGGGTAGACGAACTGCCCAGTGTACTTTGGGCCTACCGGACTACCATCAAGACTACCACAGGTGAGACTCCTTTTAACCTCACTTACGGATCCTAAGCGGTGATTACAGCAGAAACCGAGGTGCCTACACTACGCTTGGAGGCCTACGACGAAGAGACGAATGATGACGAGCTTCGTACCAACCTAGACCTGGTGGAAGAAGTATGATACCTGGCATACATCCGGACTACAGCTTACCAACAGAGAGTAGCTCAGTACTATAACACTCGGGTCAAGAAGCGACACTTCCGCGTCGGCGACTTGGTTCTTCGGAAGGTTATGGTACCTGAACCCGGTGTCAGTAAGCTCGGACTGAATTGGGAAGGTTCGTACCGAGTAAGATGGGTATATAGGGAAGGTACGTACGAGCTCGAGACTCTGGAGGGGAAGCAAGTACCTTGAGCGTGGAACATCGACAACCTAAGAAGATATTACTTGTGACCACCAAACTAGAGAGAGGACTGCGAGTCACTCCTAGAAGCCCAAGGGCCATAGTGCCGAGCTGACATAAGACCTCAACACTACGAAAAGTCCTAGTCGCCTCTTCGGCATAGGCAAATCAGTTCTCATGCCTAAGGCATAGACAGTTCGGGTACAAACCCTACTATGTCTACCTACCTCGACATATAACGACAAGTCAATCCCATTTGAAGTTAGGCCCGACGGCTTAGCACTAAGGGATAACCGACACCTAAGCAAGTAGCCCGTGTGCAGACAAGTCGGGTATATACCCTACAATGTCCGCCCACTTCGGCGTACAATAATGTGAAGTTACCACTACTCGGAGTCCAGCTCGTTAGCTCGACAGTTCGGGGTAACCAACACTTCGCCAATTCGGGAGTTATTTACACTTAGAAAGTTATTTTGCACAGAGATGGCCAAAATACTTGTATTTCATTGAAGTAAAGTTTTGAGTATAGAAAGAAGAAGAAAAAAGAAAAACTTTCACTATGAACCGAGCTCGGAGGCTCAGGGTATACATCATAAAGACCCAAGAAAAAAGACAAGAATCATGTATCCGAACTACTGGGCAAGTCAGTCTCCATGCGATCCTCCTCCGCGTCCTCTCGACCTGATGGGCCCACCTTGGGGACTTCATCATCGCTTTCCTTTTCGGAGGAGCCAGGTTCTTCGTTGGCCGCCTTCGCCACCTCGAGAGTGAGGTCAGACATAGAAACAACTCTGAGGTCCAGTTCGGGAAACTTTTGCCGCATCAGATATTTGCATAGCTTGAAGCCAGACTGGTAAGAGCTCGATCCTTACTCAACCTGGAGATTGTGGAACTCCGGAGACTCCTTGAAGCTTTCGATGGTGTGCTCTCTCTCCTCAGCCGGCGCCTCTTTAATGGCGGTCTCGAAGATCTCGGTACGCTCTTTGATCATTGCATCGAGGTTCTCGTTCTCGCGTTGGAGCTTCTCCTTCTCCTCAGTCAATGCTAGGATCAACTCCTGTTGACTCCGAGCTCCCTTCTTAGCTCGAAGAACCTCACCCCGAGTTAAATCCAACTCGCGGTAAAGTTTTTGAGAGTTCTCCTCGACTTCCTAAGCTTGCTTCAGGCGGACCTCGGACTGGTAGAGCAATGAGTGAATGGCAGAATTCACCTGGCAAAAAGAAAGCAGAGGTAAGTACCCTTAAAAAGCAAACAGGGAAATAAAGGAAATGAAGTATAAAGCTAAAATACTCACCACCATACAGTAGCTAGCAGCTCGACCTCCGAGCTGGCTTGTGGGCATGTTAGCCCACTCCGCGACTTCAGCGGGAAATACAACATCCTTACTCTTGAGGAGCCCGAGCTGAGGGGTCATTATGCTCTCTTTTGAGAGTTGAGGCTCAGGCGCGGAGGTGCTCTCCGGTTTGCGAGGTGGAACTTCTTCATCCAGGTCCATGATAGGAGGCTCAGGACGAACCTCCTCTTCTGGAAGCTCAGCAGAGATCGGTTCCGGCGTAGCGACCTCAGCGGGATGGGGGCAGAAGGACCAGCCTCCCGATGAGACTTCTTTGAGGACTTCCTCTTTTTCCCTCTCTGGAAGCTCTTCAGAAGGTTCTCCGCATCGACCTTCGGCATGGCTACTGCAAGAGAAAAAGAAAAGGTTAGTCGCGAACTAAAGAAAATTCAAAGTAAAAAATAATATGTGCACCGAGGTGGAAGCCTACCAGGAGGGCTCAGCCTAGCTCGCACAAGCTTCTCCTCGAACAAGAAATCTCTCATCTCCAGGCCAAGGTCCCTCCAAGAGTTAACTACCGCCCTGGTCTCCACATCTAGCCTCACTCCGGGGTCTTTAATATCTACCCACTAGTGAGTCGGGAAGGGCCACCCCTCAGGGTTCCGGACAAAAAAGTATCTCCTCTTCCAAGCCGATATCTTGTTCGGGCTGCCAAACATGATTTTGAACCCGGGGCGAGGAGAGATGTAGTAACTCTGTCAGACGTCCCCGCGCAAGCAAGCGGATTTCTCTTTGATTGAGCAGATCGAGCTAAAAACGTCTAAGGACAGAGGTCGATTATACTCGTGGAATAGGGAGATTGTACCTACTATAGTTCGGATGGAGTTCGGGTGTAATTGGTCGATGGTGATGTCAAAGAACTTAATTATTTCTATAATAAATGGGTGGAGCGGGAAGCGCAACCCAGCTACGAGCTGCTCTTCGAAAACCGTGAGCTCATGGTGACCATGAACCCAAGGATACCGACCCAAGGGAATACTGAAAACTAAGTTATTGGGAAGACAATAACGAGCTACTAAGGACAGTAGCCTGTTCGAGGTCATAGTGGAGGGCCGAAGTCATCTGGATCCCGACCCTGAGAAGAAGACGAGACCCCCTCTCGGGAGGTTGGTCTCTCCTCTCGAGCTACAGGCTCCTTAGGCCGAGATGGCCCGATTTCGGGTAAAGAGGTTTCTCCTAAAGGGCGAGGGGGGGAACTACCTAGCGAGGAGCTGATCTCGCCAGCGGGAGCCGAGGACTGCACCTCGGCACCCTCAAGTCCACTAGAGTCACTAAGAACCCTATCTATGCTAGACATATTGAAACAGGAATAGGAAAGGAGAACAAACTAAGGAAGAAAAGATGAACTCACCAAAAAAAGACGAAAACGACCTCGGAACACAAGGGGAGAAGTGGCGAGCTAAAGGACTCTGACGCGACCTCGAGGGAGCTCAATCACAAGATTTTTGGTGAAGAAGAGGGCCCCCTCGGCCCCCTATTTATAGCTCATTGCGTGGCGATCAACGGCCGAGACCTGCTCGATCCAACGACTCTCATGAAAATCAGTTGCACAACACCTGAGGATGAAATCGGTTGAGCGCGCTCTTTGACGTCCGCGGAGTTTATAAACAACGTGATGTCCGCGTGTACCTGGGACGCGATCTGGGTCATTTCGTGGTTGAGCCAGACGGTTGAACAGGCCCGACCAGCGGTTCGCGCTTCAGATTGTCATAACCCACGCCAAATCCACCTAGATCGTCCATGAACTCCTCGCACCGGGTTGGGACCCCTGGCACGAGGAATGGGGGGCAATTGATGAAGGGTGATTTGGCGCGACCTAGCGAGAAGGGGACACGTTGACACGACCTGACTAAGAGATGACAACTCAGCCCAACAAGCCTAGTCCGCAACAATTGAGCTCGAGTATTCAATCACCTCGGCACAGGGTCACCTCGGCATCAAGGCACCTCGGTATTCAATCCAGTTCGGAACTAGAAGACTGAAGTATCAGCTCAGGGCTAGTCAGATCACGCAACATCAGGATTAAAGAATTAAAGCTATATTTGATTTGAAGGAAAAGACAGAGAAAGGAATGGAAATGTGGGAAAACCTTTACAAACCTAAATGATGCAAAAATGTTTGTTTTTCCTTCAAACCAAATACAACTTAAATGATGCAAAAATGGTAATTTAATTTTAGATACATGTTATACAGTCAAATGTTGATTGAACAAAAAAAAAGGAACAAACTTCTTTAGGCTCAGTTTGAAAAGAGTATAAATACAAATATGTATAGTACAGATTTTGCTCTCTACATATTTGTATTTGCACTCCTTCCAAATTGAGCTTTAGGTTTTTATAAGTTGATGTTTAATGTTTTAATATTCTAGGTGGACATTGAATTCCAGCCCATGACACCTTTTGTTAAAACCCGTCGACTTCATTCTTGACATGTCCAAGGGAAATTATACGCCAACACATGGATTTTGGTTATTGATATATCATATGACCATTTTCATCTTGATCCAACAACTCATTATGGAGGAATAGGATGAGCCTACCAAACTTGTGGTCATGGGCATGGGATGAGAAAACTGAGAGTTTGTTTGGTTCGCAATTGATATTGGAATTGGAATCAAAATCCTCCCGAATTGAAATAGCCTATTCCTATAGTTTGTTTGGTTCAGATAAGAAGGGAAATTAGAATAAAATTTTCTCCACCTTTTACACTTGTTTTTACAACAAAATAATGTGATTTAACTTTCCAACCATAATTCCACCTTTTTATTGCATCCCACAAATCAAACATGAGAAAGGAAGAATATTCGAAAATATTCTTTTTTTTTCTTCCCATTCTAGAAATTTTCTAACGGACCTAAGAAAATTTACTTCCCTATTTTATTTATTTTTTGTTTTAAATTTAAATTTTATCATTTTCTTCCATAGAAAGTACATTTTTATTTGTAAAAGAAACATTTGAAATAATGAGAGATGGAGAGAGCCCATGGCCATGATTTAAGAATGATATGGCAATAATGGGATATCAAAACATGGTTTATTTTGCTGGCCCCATGGGCTTAGTTAAGTAGATATCTATCTTCTGTCTTTTTATTTTGTTCTCATGTGTATAGCTAACGTGGTGTATCATGATTGGGCTATGATTACGTGTAGAACTTGTAGATGATTGGAAAGCCAAGTGTATCACCAAATGTTCAAAATTTGAAATTCGGACAATTTTCCCGCCGGAGAAAAGCCACCATTTCTCATTATTTGATTATTATATTCTTCTTTCACACTTCATACTTGAGAGAGCTCCAGCGTTCGGACAGTCCTCTTCTCAATCTCTCCCCTTTCGTTATCATCTCTAACTCGAACTCGAAGGGAGGTAAAAAGAAGAAAGAGAAGAAAACAGACACAGGGAAGGCATGTCGTCGTCGACGGCGGTCAGCCGGCTGAAACAACGAGGTGGCGCCGGCGGGAAGGTGACGGCGTTAAAGCCGCAGAAAACCCTAACGCCGGTCTCAGAGAAAAGAAACGGTGCGAGCTGCAAAAAGTTCAGCGGGAAGGAAAACCCTAGACCCCCTTCCGTCTCCAGGATTCCGTCCGTATGCCAGAAGCCGGCTATTCGGCCTATTCCCATGTCGCAGGTTGATAAGCCGTCGGGGCCTGCCAAAGATGGAGAGTCCCGTGTTCGATGGTCGACCTCGTCGGTTCCGAGAGGTAAGAGCTCTAACCCTTCTGATTTTGCTCGGTTCCTGTCTGATCTCCGAAAAGAGCGCATTTCAAAGGTTTCTGAGTCGGGGAAATCGGAGAAAACCCTACAACGTAGTTCTCTGGGTGGAACCCAACTTGCTGTGTCGAAAGGGGGGGACTGCATGGATGGTTTTAAGGTCCTTGAAAAATGTCAACAGAGTAGAGCTCGTTTGGATTCGAATCCAAAGGCAAATGAAGGAATTGAGGATGGTTCTACAGTTATAGGAGATTCCAAGGATAAAGGTGATCTCTGTGTGGATTTGGGGAAAAATAGCGGGAGTGGGTCGAATTATCTTAATGTTGTACCAGGAAAATGTAATGAGAAAGCAATTTTGGATTCAAAGGCTAATCCAAGTGAAAAGCGTTTGAATGGTGTTAGGATCTCCGCTGAATGTAAGGGGGATGTTAAGTTAAACTTAAATTCAACTAGATCAGCTAAAAACGATGTGGATGGTAATTTACAGTCTTGTAACAATAATAATTATTTATATTCAAATAAGAGAGTTGCAAATGATAAGAAACCGAATGGTCATGGGGTTTCCGATGATTGTAAGGGGAAGGCGGATTTAAATTCATATTCAGAAGTTGCAACTGAAGAATCTGCCGATGGGCTTGCTGTTCTTGAAAAATCTAATGGCGCGGGTAATCTCAACTCAAGTTGGAAAGGGCCCAGTGGAAAAGTTTCGGATGATTTCAAGGTTTTAGAAAATTCAAAAGACAAGGACTCCACAGAAGAAAAAAGTGTTGTAACTGTTAAGAAGTACCCTAGCAAGCTTCACGAGAAGCTCGCCTTTCTAGAAAGCAAGGTTAAGAGAATTGCATCTGATATAAAGCGGACAAAGGAGATGCTGGACTTGAACAATCCAGATGCATCCAAGGTGATACTGTCTGATATCCAGGAGAAAATTTCAGGGGTTGAAAAGGCTATGGGTCATGTAATGGATGATAACAACAATAATCCAGGTTCTGTGAAAGCTGTTGAAGCCGATGCTCAAAATAAACAAGTCAATCATTTGAAGCATTCGGTTAAAGATTTGAATCCTGAGGAATTAGAAGCCAGGCTCTTTCCTCATCATAAATTGCTTAGAAACCGGACATCATTGAACACAACATCAGGAAGCAGTCAAAAACATCCACCACATGAACCAGAAAATGGTGCCAACTCAAATCCAGAAGAAGGATCGCTTAGCCCCATTGATGAGAACTCCATTGCTATGGAATTTTTAGCTTCACTTGATACCAACCAATCCAAGGTCATCCCACGGGATGGGAATGTTAACTTGGAGTTTTGTGAAATCCAGGAAACAGAAGGTTCTACAAGTTCGACAGCGCAGGAAATAACAAGTAGGTTGGTTGATGGAATGACCAATGGTGAAATGGAGCTCACTTCTGATGAAAACTTTGAGGACTTTGATGATCAGGAGAATAGACCAGTAATGATCATCCAAGAGGACACTGAGGATATTTGCATGGAGCAGTTACATGAGATAGGGAGCAAGATCTCGACTGGTGGATGGTTTGTTTCTGAGGGAGAGTCAGTTCTTCTTGCTCATGATGATGGATCATGCTCCTTTTATGATATCACAAACACTGAGGTATGCTTTCTGGGTACCTTTCCAAAGTTTTCCCTTCCCTCTTTACCTGTACTCCACAATAAATTGTTAATCATTTGTTAGGAGAAAGTAGGTCTATAATTTGTATATTTATCATTGTCATAGAACATAACCATATGCTGGTTTACTACTATTTGATAATGGCTTAACTGAATGACAGATTGATTTGCCCTTTAGTTGATAAAATATTTAAATAATAAAAAAATGAAGGATAGAGTAACCAACCCAGCTTCAACTTCAACAATTGTGTGTGTGTGTGTGTGTATATATATATATGCAAATTTTATCCTGGTTGAGCCTCTGACCCGTGATCCTCTCCCTTTTTCGGTTCTCTGCCTGGTCCGGTTCTCTGAACATTGATCACAACCTCCTTAAAATTTATTCACTAAAAGTTGAAACAATGTGATTCAATATATCTATTTCAGCTTTTATTAAACATCCCCTCTGTTTTAGTCAAATGATTGCTTACTTAATTCTGCTATTAAGGCAAGATAATGTAGTATTCTCGGCCTTCACATCTTTGAAAACTTTTTAGGCAACACATTGATATTTGTATTCTTTTGTATGTTCTAATTGATGTTTTTGTAGATAGGTAGAGTTAATGTAATGCACTTATTCAAGTCATGACTTGATTTCATCAACCGATGGTTTATTTTCATTGTAGGAGAAGTCTGAATACAAGCCTCCTGCTGGAGTCTCACCCAACATATGGGGAGACTGTTGGTTGATCCGTGCTCCTGGTGCAGATGGTTGCTCAGGAAAATATGTTGTTGCTGCATCAGCTGGAAATGCCTTGGATTCAGGTTTTTGTTCATGGGACTTCTATACCAAAGATGTTCGAGCTTTTCATATTGAGGATGGAACAATGACATCTTCTTCAAGAACAGTACTTGGTCCCTTACCCAATAATGGTGTGTACAGAAGAAATGCTTTATCTGCAGTCCTGGCCACTGAAAACCAACAATGGTGGTATAAGCCATGTGGACCACTCATTGTCTCAACTGCCAGCTCTCAGAGGGTTGTCAAAATCTATGATGTCCGTGATGGAGAGCAAGTTATGAAATGGGAGGTACAGAGGCCAGTTTTATCAATGGATTACTCAAGCCCGTTACATTGGAGGAATCGAGGGAAAGTGGTTCTGGCTGAAACAGAAGCCATTAGTCTTTGGGATGTGAGCTCTCTCAATCCTCAGTCACTACTAACTATTACTTCTTCTGGTCGGAAGATCTCAGCACTTCATGTCAATAACACAGATGCTGAATTAGGTGGCGGGGTTCGTCATAGGTAAGTTTTGTTCTACTATTTTTTGTCATTTTTATTATTCTTTATATGCTCTCTTCTATTTGTTGGTTTCCTTGTCTCTACCCTTTTGCATTGGTGTAACTGGGTGCACCTAGATCACAAAGCATTCTTGTTCAAAGCTGACATTCAAACCTTTGGCAATTTATTATTTCTAATGGAGAGCATTGATCATGTTCTTGTTTTATTGTTATGCCATCAATCATCTTTATTTTCAATCTATGGTAATTGTGCCATGCGTAGGGATAATACTTCACTATGTAGGAGAAAGATTGGAGTTTGGAAATATTATTTATGTTTTTCAAACGTTTTTTTTCTTTCAAATGTGAAATTTGAACGTCTAGAACAAAAGGAGACATACAATTAGTGAAGATAGAAATCCCAGTATGAATAAGAGAAGCTAATGCAAAGTTAACTTTTCTGTCAAAGCGTACTTATAATTGCTGAATGTTTTCTTTGAAATGCAGAGTAAGTTCATCAGAAGCAGAGGGAAATGATGGTGTATTCTGTACACAGGATACAATTAATGTGTTAGACTTTCGTCTTCCATCTGGTGTGGGACTCAGGATATCTAAACTCGGTGTGAGTGTCCAGTCTGTCTTCTCTCGTGGGGATACTGTCTTTCTTGGATGTACCAATTGGAGATCAGTAGCGAAAGAGATGCCCCGCCCACGAGTACAACAGTTCTCATTGCGCAAAGGAAGGCTTGTCAGCACTTTTGTACTTCCAGAACTCAATGCTCACTCCCACTACTCAGCCATAACACAAGTGTGGGGGAATTCAAACTTTGTGATGGGTGTATGTTCCTTGGGGCTCTATGTGTTTGATGCCTTAAAGGATGATGGAATGCAACCACTCACTGTCAGTCATGAGAATACTCAAAAAGTTAAAGACATCATTGGCCCAGATGACTTGTACTCTCCTTCATTTGATTACATGACATCTCGGGTGCTCCTTATATCAAGAGATCGCCCTGCACTTTGGAGGCACTTGTCATAGTTATAGTGTCATGCTTGGATACCACTTTGATATCCTTTTAGTGCTGTTTACATTTTATTACCTCTTATGTAATACATGAAAAAGAATATTGTTAGTTATTTAAATACAGCCCTTTGTTATATAATGAAATCAATTCTCTTGAATGTGATAATGAAAGTACTTAGCTACGGGATCAAGAAAGTTTCTGTGGTTCAAGTTTATATTTGATGTCTATTCCTTCTCTGATCATTTGCTTCGTATGATTCGTTTGTCTCCTTTCTTTTGGTTGCAGTTTCATGCAGATGCTTCGTTTTGGAAAACTTCTCTAGTCCATCTGCTGGTGTTTAATGCACATAACTAGTTTTCATTTGATGCAGGCTATCATACAAGTAACAGTGCATGGTGGGATTCATGGCAGTTTAACCGAAAATTGCTTTGATATCTTCAGCCAATAAGTGGATTTTCACATTTCAGCACTTGAATAATCCATATCCAGTATGTATATCTAGTCATTGTAGGTAGTGGCTAGATTCATAATTCTGACTTGTGATTTCAGCTATCATGATCTGAAATCTACCAAGACAATGATTTTCATTATAAACAAAGCATTCAATATCTCTGGAATGTCATGAGCACCTCGGACATGAACCATCTGTCATGTTCTTTTTGTAGCTTTGTTGGCTAGACTACACCCTTACAAAAAGGATAAAGATTCGCTTCATAGTACGAGAAAAATGGGTGAACGTGAATCGACTCAGAGGTTGCCAAGACAGCCTGGTTCTTGAATCCAGAGGCATTGTGTCTCATTCCGGATCCATTGCTTTTGGATTCAAAAAGATTATGGTTGTTTTGGCATCTGCGGGAAAATTTGACAGCTGGGGTTTTACATAAGGATATTGAGTATTAACGGCCCATAAACTGTTTGGTTGAAGGTGCATTTTTTTTTGTGTGAAGACGAGACAAAAAAAGGTTAAAAACTTTCATTTGAAGTTTCTCAAAAATAGTCTGAAACGGGTTTCTTGCATCTTTTTGGACAGGAGTGTTTTGGTGGTTAGATCTTCCCCCAATCAAATGAGGAAAAACAAAATCACGGTCTACCAGGCTTTTCTAAACAGGTGACAGTCCACATGAAAAGATACACCAAACGGGGTTTATAACTTTTTTAATCCAACCCGAATTTAGGTTTATATTTTTCAACTCCAACCCTAACCCGACCTTCAAGCTTCAGCTTAAATTAAACCTTTTGGGTTTGGTTCGACTTGGATTTGGGCTAAATTGACCCCCCAAGTTGTACTCCTATGTATTGGGACCTACAATTATTTGAAGAATCCGCAACTACTCTCTCTAACTTTAATGATGGAAATGAGGGTCAGAACTCAGAAGGTATAAGTTCATGCACGGTAAGGAAAAAAACAAAAGAAGTCAGACAAACAAGCTCACTCTTAAGACAGTGTCGATGAACATTTATAATACTGAACGGGAGCTTGTAGGTGATTGCTCTAGCCTCTAGTTATAGATCATTTGCTTTCCGGATTTTTGGGGCATGATGGAGAGAGATCCAGAGAGGTAGACTTTGTCTTGAGCAACCCTTAACGGCTAAAAAAGGCAAAGAGGCAAGATAAAAGTAACCATAGGAGTTAGGACAAGGTTTCAGAAAGCACCCGAATGTGTTAAAAGGTAAGGGCAATTGAAAGCCGCAAGTTCTGACCATTGCCACCTGACTACTAGAGATATCTCAACTGTCTATCCAAAAGAGCACATTTTAATCATGAATCATTTCATTGCCACTCGTCAAAATACTTCTAAAAGGAAGTAGGGGTGATCATTTGTAGGCCAGGTAGGAAGCCCACCTTGGACTGGCCTGGAAATTTTAAGATCGGTCTGGGCCCAAAACCTCTGCCTATGATTCATAATCTACCCAACCCATTTTATCGCCCATTTGTAAGCCAAACCTATATTTTTTTCGGTCAATGATTTTGGGCCTGTTTAGTTTGTGGAAATAGAGGTCTGGAATTGGAATGAGAAAGGGTTATTTCCATTCCAATTGTTTGGTTGGGTGGAATCAGAATCTCATTCTCATTCCTGGTGGAATGACATTTCCCATCCCTTATTTGAGGGAGTGGTCATTCCCTTCTCCTCCCTTAGGAATGAAATTCCATTTCATCTGATTCTAATTTTCATTCCTATTTCTATCTGCACCAAACAGACTATAGGAATAGTTCATTATGATTCTGATTCTGATTCCAATTTGGACTGTGAACCAACCTCATAATGTGCTCTACCATATTAGTGGCTCATTTGAGAGGGCTGAGCTGAAAATAAGCTTCTGTTCAGCTGCATAAACAATATAAGCTTTTTTTTTTTTTGGGTATTACGAATTATGAGGATCAAGGGGTGGGGACATAGCAGGGTGTATGTGACGAATTCCGATGAGCTGAACGCGATGGCTGTTCGGCTGGCTGTGGAACCAATGGTGAGGTTCCAAGCTAGTAATAAATTCAAGGTCCCATTATAATTGGTGCGGGCCCCATGTATTTTATTACTGGCATGAAACTTTAGCATTGGTTCCACTGCCAGCGGAACATCCACCCCGTTCAGCCAAACTTTGCTCGTATCAGACCTTGCTACAAAATACAAATAGCTTGAAGCTACACGGATTTGTTACCATGCCTCCTTTAACTTTTTATTTTGGTAGAAAGGACGCCTCTTTAATTGGATGGATGCCAAATGACCAGCATTTGCCAAGCAATCAGCAGCTTTATTAGCCTCCCGGAAAACGTGCTTGTATTGAACACTTAGACTCCATCCCTCAGGCATATAATAGTATTAGTGGGAACCCGTGTGATCTACAGGTTTTGTTAATTAGGAAAGAAACAATAAAGACTTATAAACAAATTGAAAGAATCAAAATAATGGTTTAATTACATTACTAAATACTAAAATAAACTATAATTAGAATTGATAAAATAAGGTCAGCTTATTATTTAAAATAAATTATTATTACTATTATTACTTTGATTTATGATTTATTATTAAATAAATATTTTTATTATATTTGATTTATGATTATTATTATTATTATTATTATTTAAGTAATTTATTATTTAAATAGTTTATTCATAATATATTTATTATTATTTAATAACAATAATCATTTAAGTTATTTAATAATTTATATTTATTTTATTAATTTAAGAGAAAATTCCCAATAGATACCTTGTACTTTAAACCGAGTGTCAATTTAGTAGTCAAACTTTAAAATGTGATAACGTAATACCTCAACTTTCATTCCCAATAGGTACCTGGTACTTAGTGTTAATTCACCGTCAACTAGAAGATAAAAAGACCTAAATACCCTTCAGATATTTCGAAGTGGGAATCACTGTTCACTAGTGACATTCGGAAAACCAACTCCCTCACGAATGCACCGCCAGAAAAGTTGAAATCGACTCCAAAAAAGTTAAGTCGAAGAATCCAGTGCCGTTGCCGAAGAGACGACTCTTATTGCCGATTTTAGATTAGACTGATTGACGGATCTCCGCTGTTTTATTTGTTATCGTGGAGCGGTGGAAGGAAGTTTCCTGTTCAGATACAGACGCAACCATCTAGTCATCCTCCTCTTTCTTCACAACTTCACCTTTCCAATTAAGCAAGCTGAAGAGCTTAGCAAAACTAGAGCTTGAATGCACGATGAACAACCTGTGACTATGAAGACCTTTTAAATTTCATACTATTTTTTTCCGATCTAAATTTTAACTTTCAAGGGAAGGAATAAAAATAGAGTACTTTATTATGATATGGGTTTTATTTTTATATTTTGTTAAGTAATGTGATGCGGGTATCCTTTCTATTCTCGATGTGGGTTCCTCTGTTTCAATCGGTTATTAAGAGAAACTGAGCAAGTGACGTATTTGGTTTGGATTCTCTCTTCTGGAGAGAAGATGAGGGAAAAGCTACGATTTTTCATCAGTGTTTTGTTCCTGTCTCGGTAGATTTGTGGTGGAAAAGAATAGCTTACGGGTGACTTCACCACAGTCATTGAAAGGTGTTTACAAATTCGGAGAGGTTTAGAGAAATCAGTTCCTCGGTTTGTGTTCTCCTTCGTAAGAATCAGTTCACGCTAGCGACTCGCAGTCGCAGCTGAATGTGCTCTCCTTCGTATCGTGGTCCTCAGTTTGTAAATTGCATTACAAATTCGGAGAGGTTTAGAGAAATCAGGAGCTCCACACTACTGTAGAGGGGAGAACTGGAGATGGGCCTGATCGGAATTCGACGTTCTCAAAGGTGAATACAGGAATGGTGAAACTCCGCCTCAACTCATTGATCGATGATGTGGTTGCAGCATTGCAGGCGGTGAACTCTTGGCGTTGTCTAATGATTCTGATACGATTTTGATGAAGAAACTGGTTCGAATTTCGAATGGAGAAGAATAGATGCGGAACACATTCGGATTGAGTTATGTAATCTCCTAACCTCCCCCAGGAGGTACTGAAGATTCGACGTGCTAACCTTTGACACGACGTATTGGAGGTTGTTGGCCAGGAAGAGATATGATAGAGTGACATCCTTATACAACTCGGCCTTACCATCGAGTTTTCAAAGGACGACCAGTATGATCCATACCAATCGGACGGAAATCGCCGATGACTGGTTATCCACCCAGCTTGGGCTCGAGTAGTAAGACTTTGGAAGTGGAGATTGCATCGGCACAGGTCCATTGGCAATGATATCGGAAAGATTTCCACTGTAATCGACCAATAAGCTCAAGCAGTTCATCACGTATCGATTAAGAGGGTGCAGTCCACCACTAGGAACAGAGGATTTCGACGGATCCTTCTGAATTGCCGATTCGAAGTCCGATAACATCGTTCTCACCGTGTCACCGAGTCTGACGAGTGAGGAGAGGGCTTGTGATGTTACCGCGCTTGAGTTTTCATCATGAAACGATGGTTTGGACTGTTAAAGAGGTTGAGTTCCGTTTCATTTTCTTGAGAAAGAAGACGATGAACTGTTTTATTTTCAAGAGTAATTTTGATATATTCACATGTCTTAAATCGCACATGAGGTCACGTCATATACATAATTGACAATCCACTAACCGTAAATACTATATTGTCACGTTTCCAAAGTTTGGGTATTAGATTTTTGCATTTTAAAGTTTAGGTACTAAATTAGCA